TTTCGCATGATTCAAGAATATAACATTAAACAATCTTACATAAATCTCAAAATGAATATGAGATAAATACAAATATTTAATTTCACAGACACACATATATCAGAATATGAATGTATGATAAGATCAAAACTTTGGTGGGAAATGTCATCATAGGGCATTCTCATTACTCTATGCATTCGAAACACAAATGATATAGGAAGACTATTTAGATAAAAACACAATATTCGACATATATATATATTTACTATTTTTCTATCGTTTTATCCGATTTAGTTTTAAGAGTACCATATAACAGGATTATGTGGCATACGTGCAATGCCGCACTACTGAACACTGTGCTTGGATATGTGTTCCAACACAACTCAATCATACCCAAGATAGTCAATTTAATAACAGTCTTATATTTGGTACACCATGCGATGTATGGTAATGTATGATAGTACCATACGTAAAATTGATAATGCAGCGATCTGCTGAACATGATGCCAATGAAATTCGCAAGAAAGAGAGGATAAACAAGCAATTGGCTTACAATAGACATATCTATCTTCTCTTTTTTAGGAATCTGAGACTTCAAGCTCTTCTCCACATCTTTCAATTTTGCGTATGATTCCATGTAAATAATCCAAATGCGCAAACAGTAGAGCAACATTAACACATGCAGAAGTAATAAAAAATTATGAAAGTACGGATGAACAAATACCTCCTCTGACAGAAACCTCCAGTTTACAGTCCATTTAAACTCAAAGATTCTACCCAAATTGAAAGCACCTTTTATGTACGCGATTGGATTCTCCAATAGGAACGGAAGACCAAGAATCAACTGTATGAATGCGCAAATATTTAAATGTATCAATGTCTTGAACAGTCCTAGGACACACAGATAAGCGACAAGAAGCGCTGGAGCAAATAGCAGTATGTTCATCTTGACAGACACGGCGAGGCTGTACAGTACACTACCCAGGTACCAGCGATTGTCCAGGAACGCGTTGAAACTCGCGTACAGCAATAACATCGCTATCGGATCATTAAAGAGCCTCAAAACAAATATCGAATGTATTCTGTAAGAAGTGCAGCACATCAGAATCAGCACGTAGGGCGGCACTTTTTTAGTCCTGGCGTAAATTTTAAACACGAGCATCAACGTGATCGCGTATACAGCCGCGTAGATATATTGCGCTGTCTTTATATCGGCGCCGCGCAAGGTCACGTAGTAGAGACCGGAGAATATGTAGACGAATCCGGCGGGATAAACTAACGGTCCGGTATCACCTCGCAATTTGGAGTAATCCGTGGTGCCGTTCAGGAATCCTTCCACCTCCTGCATATAGGCCCTCCAATCGATCTCGGTGTACGACACGTTTTCGATGACCAATATGTTCACAATTATTTCGGCGAGGATGAAGAATTTGGTTATCAACGACAGCTTCTTCGGATCGGTCAGCAACGAGATGAGCTGTCGCCATAATTCCAAACAATTTTCTATCCAACCCTTGTTGCTTCTCTTCGAAGACTTCTCGGGATTGAGGTTATATCTGGCCTCTCTGCGTACCGCCATATTGTCTAAAACTAGAGAGAGTAAAGAAGGGAGATCACCTCTCCGATAATATTACATCAGATATTTATTTACACTAATGCGCATGCGCTTAAAGGAAGATAAAGTAGTATTTGATTGACCAATTAAAATAAAGAAATTTCTGCTCCTTTTGTTCTGATTGATCAATCAAACGCTATTCTTTGACGAGTAAATTTTTGAACGCAAGCCAGTATATATACAGTTGATTGTCAGTGTTTATGAGTCATCGCAACGTCACAACCAATCGACGTGCGCCAGCTGGGATTCCGGGTTTTTGACAGAAGCCAACGTGTATAAAGTCGTGCGCGGAATAAACGGCCGTTGAGATTCGCAGGATATTTGTTAAAAAATCAAGTGGATGAATTAAAGTCATTACACGTCGCTGATTTATCGAACGACGAAGACTTTATATCGACGATACGTTGATTATTACATCGATCGTAAGGGTATGTAGCACGCTTATTTCAAATAACCTAATGTATGGTCTCACGATATTTGAGACGTTACGTTTTTTTTTTCTGCAATCTTGTTATTCTCTCGTATGCGTTTTTCTTGTCGATAATTACTGCATACCAATAATATCTCACGTAAAATTCATATGAGTTGGAATGAATTTCTTATGTATTTTAAATCTAAAATAAAAGATGAATGAAAAGGTCGAGATATTTAATAAATGAACGGGCAGCGAAAATTTTCAATATTTAAAAAAATGTTCTAATTGATCTTCTCGTGCTCTTTTTCGCAAAGAATGAATATATTTAATATCTTTTGTTTATATGTACTAATTAATTGAACAATACTAGAGTCACAAATATCTATTTCTGCATATTTTTTAATGATTTGACAATAATATCTTTAACAGAAAACGAAAAAAAGAGAAATGAATGCTTCAGTATCGTTGATACTTTCCATATTTCTTGGAATTGTGTGTGCTATTACAGCATTGAAAGAAGGTGACTGCGAAGGTAAGTATCTTTTGACCTTTATATTTAATTTATACAAACTCTTATAGCTTTCCTCAATTCTATGTTATTTTATAGTATGTGTTGCTGTTGTCGATAAATTTAGTCAGACATTGACAGAAGACATTAAAAGTGATCCCAAGAAGATTGAAACAAAGTTTCGAGAATACTGTAAAGGCACCAAATCAAAAGAAAATAGATTTGTAAGTAAAACAAATCTTTATAGATTATTCAAATTCAAAATAATTATTCAAATTAAAACTATATCTATTATGTGCTTCTAGTGTTATTATTTAGGTGGATTGGAAGAGTCTGCCACTGGTATTTTAGGTGAGCTGAGTAAACCATTGTCATGGTCTATGCCTGCAAACAAGATATGCGAGAAGTTGAAGAAGAAAGATGCTCAAATATGCGACCTGAGATTTGGTATGTATAATTTTTACAAACTCTTGTAAATTTTAAGTAAATACAAGATGTAAGGTATATGTGTGCAATATAAAATTTTTTTTTAGAAAAACAAATTGATCTCAACACGGTGAATCTAAAGAAGCTCAAAGTGCGCGATTTGAAAAAGATTCTGAATGACTGGGAAGAGACGTGTGATGGTTGTATAGAAAAGACAGACTTTATTAAACGAATCGAGGAGCTCAAACCTAAATACTCCAGCAATAACTCAAAGAAGGAGCTCTGAAGGATTATGGTCTTCGATTTAGACAAGCAATTAAGTTAGTATGGCTAAAATTTGTCTTTAATTTGCAGAGGAATTGTTTACAGCATTTAGAACATGTATTTATTCATGTAAATGTCTACATGATACATTATTTGTATAGCCTTGTTCTGTCAAAATTATCTTTGACTGTCAAAGTGACAGTCTTGAACTAAGACATTTAATTTTTATTATATAATATAGTAGATACATTACCATAAAATTAGTATGAAGCAAACAATAATAGACAATGAAAATTTTGTCAAACAATATATTTACATCTTACAATAATTTCGAGAGACGTATTACATTAGTAGTATGATTTCTCTCTCTCTCTCTCTCTCTGATGTAGCCATGCTAATAATGTACCTATTTTACTGAAGGTGCTTCATTTATATGATATCAACTCGTTAGGCGTAAATTGATATATAAAACATTTATACAAAAAATTATTTTCACATATATTTATCTTTATTGTTCTTCCTCATATAATAATACACAGATATGTTTGTATGATATGTCCAAATGATATTTATACTAAAACATAATTTATTATGTCAAACTTTGTATGTGTAAGAGATATTTTATCCAATCATTATATGTTATATTCTGGTTCTTTGATTATCTAATTGAAGCGTGAAACATGAACAAAATGTACAATTGAATTTGTGTAGTATCTATCGTGGCCAGTATTGATGAACTATTGTACACAAATATGCGAATTCAACACAATGCCAATTTTTGAGATGAGAATTATTTGTATCGATATACACCAACTTTTACAGTTAAACATGATAAAAATATATGTATTCTCGAGAGAAGAGTACGATAAATTGAAATTTACCATTGCAATACAAAAAAATTGTGCATAAATAATATTTAGATAAGGTATTACCGCATATCTGTATGTACTTCTGGAAATCTCCCAAACTGAGTTATTTATTTCGTGATAAGACTGCGTGATTACGTTTTCTATATCACATTCATGAATCTTGATACAAGAAGTCAGAAAGAAATAAAAACATATGTGTTGTTATTAAAAGCGAAAATGTTTTACTGAATTGTGCGGAAAAAAAAGATCACTTCAACCATTGTTTGAGTTACGTGCCTTTATTTTCGTTACATTTCGGCGACTCGTTCCATCTTCCGTCGGCTTGACATGTGATTACTCCCTGCTTTTTACCATTAGGACACACGTAGGTCAATTGATCTTGAAATAGATAAGAACGGCCATGGAGCATGATTCCATGCTGGATCTGCGGTTTGCCGCATGATATTTCTGAAAATAGTAAATATAGATTTAAATAGACTGGTGACTTTTTGATAGTAAGATGGATAGATTTAAAACTGCATATTATTTATACACGCACTCGAACATCTGCCGTTCATTCTCGACCATTTTCCGCTTCCCAAACATCTCAAAGTCGTTTGTCCGAATATACGATAGCCCGGGACGCACTGATAAGAAATCATATTACCAAAAATAAAGTTCTGAGTTCCTTCGCTAATGTCTGGTTTGAGTATCGTATTCGCGAAGATCGGCGGCTCCCCGCACGCTACAGCTAGAAATGTTAAAAATATATAGGGATTTAGAAATGTTTAAAATTTTCAATCTTAAGAGAGAAAAAATGTTTAACATACGTTTGCAAGAAGGTAAAGCGGACCACGTGACATTCGGTAAACAAACAGACCGTTCGTCACCTTCGAGAACATATCCGTGACGGCATTTGAAGATGACGACATTGTCGATCGCCTTACGATTGTTCATATCATCGGTGTTATTAATATTATCTATGTACCCATATTTTGGTATCTAAAAAATATTCATTTTTAAATTTATGTCTTTTATCTTAATAATAATATTATCCGTTAATGTTTCGAGAAATTTGTGCTCGAATTACCTCCGGGGGTGCGCATGATCTATCGCAGACATACGTCGAGTCGTTCAACAGCCGTTCGAGTTCAGATTCCTTTAGCGATAAACCCAAAACTATCCATATTCCAATCTCGTTACATGTCCAAGTTATATTCGAAACTATCTCGTTAGTAACCAGCTTGTTCAGATTCATCCGCGTGTCATTCTGACACGCTAAGATTATACGTTGCCCGTAAGCCTTTCCCTCTACAAAGATCTCAAATTGTTTATACGTGCCCGTGACATTGTCCGTGCCGTGCCATTTTTCGTCAAATTCAAATGATATTCGTCGTGACATTACGTCGTTTTCGTTCTCCAATTTTTTGAAAATCTTAAAAAGCGGGTGATCTTCAATGGAACAATTATGCGGCACGCAAGAAGCGAAAGTCGAAGACCAAGTCTCGTTGGTGCACATTCTGATTTTGTCTCCGATCAATTCATATCCCGAATCACAGACGATAACAATTTCCACGCCGGAAACGAACATTTCTGGAGAGATCTCTTCCTCGTTGTCTCTTGTTATACGATCAATGGATTCGGACATCGCGTTTCTCTCCACGGGAATCTCGACTGTAATATTGTCTTGTTTCCTGAGGAAGATTCTCGCGTTTTTCATGCGATCCGGCCAAGGACATACGCGCGGAACGCAATCGGGAACGAAACCAATCCAGCTGCCGTTGGCGGCACACTGCAGTTTGAATTCCGTCAATAGACTGTAACTTCCGCGAAATTTGTAGCCGTGATGGCAAAAGAATCCAACGACATCATCGTAATGATACGTTCTTTTGGAGAGATCGTCGATTGTATTCTCCTCGGGATTGTAAACGGAAGTCCGGTTCGACTTGTCGGAATTTGCGAAGGCGATGTACCCGTGTTTTATTCTACATATTCGAAGAATATATTAAACAGTTTTAAATGTTCTATTAAACGAAAATATTTTTATCATGCACAATATTTTTTCTTTGAATAAATCTTTGACCTAATTTAAAAAGGGTGAATCGTGCCATATATGTTTAAAACGCACTTTTTCGGCGGAGGGCATCCGTAAAGTATACAGGATGGTCTCTCGTAATCCCAAATGCCGGTCTCCAAACAGGTCAAATATCTCTCTCCTTTTAAAAGATATCCGGGATTGCATTTGAATTCCAATTGCTGGCCGGCCTGAAATAATTGACAATTCGTTTGAAAATGCGGCTCATAATACAGCATCTTTTTTACAAAGTATAAAGCATATACATACCTGTAATATCGTGATATCATCTCTCTCATTCTCTTCCAATATGTATTCTATATCTCCATTTTCGGGGGCTAGCAAGTTTTTGCACGTCATTCCTATCGGAGAGTCAATTTGAATTAAAGCTCTTGAAATTGTAGAATATTGAATTATGCTCTTATTTTTATATACAATTAATATATATTATAATTGCCTATTTAGTTTCTTATTTTACAAGCTTTTATATTGAAAAAATATTCAATCGAAGAATAATAGATCAATCGCGCTTTAAGTCTGGTTTTCTCTTGAATTGAAAAGATAAGGGATGATATTTTCTGCGAAGGAGTTGAAAGCTTCTAATTTTAAAATAATCGTTTTTTTTTTTATTTTGTCATAATGAAGGAAGCAACTGGACATTAATTTATGGTTAACAGGGATATTTTATTTCGTACAATCGCGCTACCTATACAGATTGGAGACAGCCCAGTCCATTTTCCGTCTGAATTGCAAATTCGATGAGGGTTCCCTCGAAGTTCGTAGTCATCAGCGCAAAAATAGTAAATCTCATCCCCGAACGAATACGATCTGCCATAAATATATCCTCGCGGAAAGTATCCCGGAAATCCGCATCTTATTTCTTGAATGTGAATCAGAATCTTGAGTTTCTTCATACAATATCGAATCGTCATCAATTAATCGTCGTCAAATTAAATATTTAATTTAATAGTTGATCTCTTTTATATTAAGAGGATCCAGTAAACTTACTTGTACAGATTGGCGTATCGTGTCCCTCCCATTGGCCATGCTTGAGACATCTTCTACTAAGGGACCGATGTTCCTCACCAACGAACCGAATCACGTATCCGCTATCACAATAATACGTTACTTCCGATAGGTCTTCGCTGACGTTAATATTACCTTTGAACGGTACTGTGGGTAAGGGGCAGCCGCGACAAAACGGGCTAGCTAAGATCTGAGGATATTGTGAGACAATCATTGCTTATTACGGTCTATCGCTAACATCGAACGAGAGCTTTGTACAGCTTAACGCGCTTATAATTACCACAACATCGCCGTGAATATATTGCTGCATCTGCACCCAGGCCACGACATTCCCGTGATATTTTTCACAACTGTTCCATAGCGCTGTAATGTTCTTCTCGTCTAAAACTACATTCCATATATCTAGTAAGCCGAGTTTTCCCAAAAATGCTTCCGATTCAGAAAAGCCACCACCTAGACGATCTTGTTCCTGTCCAATAACGAGGGATCCATTGGCTAGACAGAATAATTGCAATCGTATAATTCGCGTTTGTTGCTTTATTTTTGATATAACATAGTTCAATAAAATAATTTTTCAAAAAGAAAATATCTGATAGAGTTTTTCATACAAATTCGATCTCAAATATGCTTCACCGCATCATAATTTTAAAAAAATTGATATTAAAGTTGTAATATGAAAACTATCACTACTGTAATCTTGATATTTTTGCATTAATTTGTTTGCAATTCTATATTTTATTCCTAATATTATTTTTGTGTTATACGAAAGCTAACACTCTATATATCGCTTTACCTTGTACGACGACTCCCTGAGCTAAACGAGTGCCACTGTCCTTGAGGATCCCGTCGACAAATACGCGCCAGGTGCCGTATCCGTTTTCCCAAGTAACACACAGGAAGTGCCAGTAACCATCATTGACTTTAACATCGGTCACGACTCTTTGCCCGTTAATATACAAGACGAATCTGCGCAAGGATGTTAATCCGCGGAGAATTTGCTCGAATAGATTGTGCCAAAACATTTTATTTTGTGTTATAAAAAACATGGAAAAATGTATTTTTCGTAACTCTTCGATAAAACATATATATTAAGTTTCCGCGAACATATAATTACCCGTTATAATCCGTTAATGTGAAAGCATTGTCATGGAACGTCGTCGCGTACGATAACACCGTACCATAATTAAAAGTGTCCATCGACTGTAGCCACAGACAAACGGACAACTGCAATTAATAAATTTAACGATATATCAGTCATTTAATTCCCTTTTTTCTTTTCTTTTTTTTTTTTTTTTACCTCAGAAAAATCTTTCGCGGGTCCTTTCACGATGACGTAATCCGTCGTACTGGACTTTGTAAAGTGCATCACATAATTGGATAACAATTCTGCGGCCATTAAAAAAGATGTGATCTTCTCAATTGATATCGTAAAAATGCTTTGTATCTACTATTGGATTGCTCGGAAAGTTTCCTAATCTCTTTCTCTTATGAGAAAGATATAGGAAATAAAAATATATAAACTATAGAAGACTTTCCGAATAATCCAATATAAATTATATAATATATATAACAAGATATATATTATGTGACACAAATTTAAAAAAGAACTTCTTATCAAACAAAGTATTTTCGTGATATTAAAACTCTTGCGATATTAAAGTTTTAACTTGCCAGTTTCGCAGTTGCTTCCTGTGAAAAGCATCGGGCAATCACAAGTGTAATTGTGCATCTGATTGATGCAATTCCCATTGTTTAAGCAAGGCGAACTCTCGCAGTAATCGATCCTGATTGCGCAGTCCTCTCCAGTGTATCCGTCGGGACATTCGCATCTAGGAGCGATTGGACATATCATAAATATATAATTATAATTTTTTATACTCGCGAAATTACCATTAAATGTACCTATAACTTTCTCGTGTCGCGTTTTCCTCCTCTACGTTTACGCAAATCGCGTTTACGTGACACGGTAACCAGTCGCAAGGCAATAGATTGCAGTGGCGGCCCAAGAATCCGGGTTTGCAGAAACATCGCCAGGTTCCGTTGACGGTGCGACATATGGACCCCTCCTCGCAAGGCATAAGCTCGCAGTGATCCAATAGAATTTCGCAAAACTGACCTAAACAATGAAACAGAAAAATATTCGTTGTCAATGTATTAGCGAAGATAGATGTACCTTCGAATCCATCTTTGCACTCGCAGGCGAAATCACTCTCAGTGCTCGCGCATTTCCCACCGTTCTGACAAGGATTAGTGGAACATTCGTCTATATAAATCTGCAAGAGAAAGCACATACATTTTGTTCTGTTTTATTTATTCAAAACTTATTATTTTTTATTGTAAATCTGTCCGCTCCGCGATGCATTCTCGTTTACCTCACAATTGACGCCTGTGTAACTGCTTTTGCACGTGCACTCATATATCGCAGAATTATTGGGATGTCGTTGTATTTTACACACTCCTTCGTTTAAGCACGGCGAAGAATTGCATGGATCTTTGAATTCTTCACATTTCGATCCTGAAAAAGTTGTATGTATAATTAATCTTATTTATATAACAGCAAAAAAAAATAAAAAGTAAAAATTTAAATTTAGAAAGAGAGATGAACAATACTTGTTGCTAAGATTATCATCTTATAATTTTGCGATTAAACAACCACATCTTACCCACATAATATTCCTGACATTCGCAAGCGAAACTGTTTTCGTCTTGAACCACACATTGTCCACCGTTTAAACACGGATCCGTCCGACAATCCTGGATCTCCTTATCGTGTATCGGCAAGCAATCATCAATATTTGCAGAACCCCGCTTTTCTGTCGTCATGTTGAACGGACACGGTGAGCATTGAGTTTGTCCATAGCTCGGTTGATAGAAACCGATGTCGCACGCAAAACAAGGTTCCGTGGCTAAACGCGATCCGTGATAGCGTTTATGCCGAGAATAATATCCTGGTCGGCACATAGCTATACAAAGAATCGAGAATATGCATATATAATATATCAAATAATATATGAAAACAATATATCTAACTAGTCTTACGAATGCAATCTTTCAGCGATTTCACGTGCATCCTCTTCGTGAAAGTATATTCCGGACAAGATATGCATTTTAACGAAGCAGTTGCATTTTGATATTGTCCGAAAGGACACGGTTGGCAAATTCTAATTGTGGCATTGTAAAAAGTACCCGCGGGACATTTTACTGAAAAAAATGTAAAAACGTATTCATAAAAAACGCATAGCGCACATACAAGATATATATAGACAAATTGTTGCACACATATAATTGTATACGTTTTTTTATATAAATTATTATATTAATAAAAAGAGAGTTAACTGAAATATTGTATATTAAATTAATATATTAATTATAGAAGGAATTAATATATAATAAAAAAAATACACATACATATACACATACATCACACTTACCGCAATTGTGTTTCTTCAGCACACTTCCGGAATCACAGAGATCTTGAGGCTCCTTGAATACGAGATGCAAATTCAAGGCTAATTTCGCAATTTCCTGGTTGGTTCTGTTGTTGAATAAATCCAATTTTCCCATGTGCCTCATCACATCGATTTTCTCTCTCAACTTTTGCACTCCTCGTTTAGGATTTTCGAAGTTTTCTTCGATTATTCTGCCTGTAGAAATGATTTTTTGTATTATTCGAATAACGGATAGAGCCCGAATAAAATTATATAGCTTTTACCTATAAACTTAAATTTAATCTCTATCTTTTCTTTTTTTTGCTTAGGTCTGGTTTTATCTTTATTGGTGTTGGAACTTAATTTAATTGCACGTTTCAATCTCTCGAGCAGTTTATTATTTTTAGAAATAATCCTAGATTCATGATTGAATCTTCGTCTTCTTATCAAATTATCCTCGAAACTCTTTAATGTAGAAAGATCGTCTTCGCACTCAGGATTAAAGGAGATCAGATTGCACTCGATATCGTTGTCGCAGATATCCAACACTTTTAATTTTATATCGTCAATAATATTATCACTTAACTACAAGAAACAACATATTGTACACACAAAAATGTCTTTCTATATATTTATAAATTAATTTATTATTATATATATTATATTAAATATAAACGCTCACTTCGTGAAGACCTGTTTTATTGTCGCACATTGTACTTCCATTGCCTTGCAATATTACATTTCCCTCCTGAGATATCGTCTTTAATATTCGCGCTTCTATTAATAAACAAAATCATATAATTTCATGTAGAATATCATCATCATTGTATTACTATAATTCAATTAAAATAATGAGTAATCGATAATTCTTGATAAATGTAATGTAAATACCTGAACATTCCGGTAGATAATTGGTCTCCCATATATGATCGCTAGAATTACATTTTAATAACAGCTGGTCATCGACAACGTTGAAATTTATTGGTTCGAGTGCAAAATCGTAGCCATTCTCGCAAGTTATAACACATTGCATTTTATGATCATCTTTCGAAGAACAATTTAACCGCCCATTGGTGGGTGCTGTCAAATTTTTGCATATATCTACGAAAAAAATTATATATGGAACAACAGCTTTCGAATTATAAACAATTGTAAAAAAAACTTTTCACAAACTATGCTTTAATTGAAATTAAAAATTGTTTAAAAATCATATTTATTAATTAATTTCAGATAAAGTTAATAGAATTTTAATTTGAAGTATAGTTATAAAGATATATGATATATAGACAAAATTGGAAACTTGCAAAAAATAATAACTTTTCTTGACATTTTCGTTAAGAAAAAATCGACTCCAAATTCGTCAGAGAATTTATTATTAAAAAGCTATTCGGAGATTTCTACATAATGTAGAATTCTTATGTATTATAGCAAATATATATAGTCGTTAATTCTTCAAAATAAGTATACCTTCTACTGTAATATTCAATATGCAACTCGCCCGATTGCCATACTTGTCGGTAGCGTTATAGAAGACTCTCGTTTGACCGATCGGAAAGGTGTTCTCGCCAGGTTGATGGCTCTGGTTAACCCGCACCAAGGTCCTCGAATTATCATAAAAGACAGGTTCGTCCCACGTCACGTTATCGAGACCATTAACGAAATCGGTATAGAAAATCGACGGCTCGACGCAGTTCTCGATCGTGGGCGGTTCTCTGTCTACGATCATTTAAAAATATTTGTCAGACGTATCTCTTATCTAGCTATTTATTGATCGACTTCTCTCTATTTTCTCTCTTAAAATATATTTTTCAAGTACATAATTCTTAAATATATATTTATATAAATATAACTTACCAAGGACTTTGACTTTAAATTTGCATCTGGCCTTGTTGCCGTTCGCATCTTGCGCTATGTACATGACGATGCGTGTACCGATTTTCACCTTCCAAGGCAGGACAATATACGGTTTCGTCCACAAAATAGGTGACGCGTCTGCGTTATCTGTCACTTTGGGTATCGTCCAATTCACATACGCGTAATTTCGACCTTTCACGGTTTCCGCGACGATGTCGGACGGGCACTTTATCAAGGGCGGCATCTTGTCTACATTACGTTCAAAATTCAATTGTATTATAAAAGCAAAAAAAAAACAAAATGTTAAAATTGAATATTTAAATTTAATCTCTTGATAATTTTTAATTGTATAAAGAAAAGAAAATAATAAAAAATTTATGTTTTACGATAAAATTATTTTTAATCTTCATTTATAGTTGACTAACCAACGCATTGATTAACGTTGTGACGTTGTGACCAGATCCCTGTACGTCCGCTACATGATCTACTGGAGGGTCCTTCCAGGACGAAACCTTTATCACAAATAATCGTGCAATTGGTGGCGAAGGACACTTTCGTCGGGCTGGTACAGATTTCCGGGATGATGTTTCCGTTCGCGATTCGCGGTAAAGGTTCGCATTTTACAGCTACCGGGGAGATAATGCTTTCTTCAATATCATGCATCTTGTGGTACAAACTAATATCGAAACATTGTCGTTTTTACCCTTGCAAGTAACTTTCAGACCGTCCCACCGGGACAAGGGTAGACAGTTGCGCACTTTGCTGCCGCGAAGCTGATAGCCGACATCGCATTTGAACTGGCAACGTGTGTCGATCGGATAAACGGTAGAGTTCTCCTCGAATTGGTGCTGATAATTCTCGTCATGTTCGCACTTCATATGGCCGTGTGTGGGTGCGCGTAGAGTCGAGCACGTCTTCACTGCGAAAAAAATATATTGTTCAAATGTATTGTTCAATGTATTAAAAAATTCCACGTTGTTTTTAAAATAGTAGATAAAAAAATATTAATTAATTATACTACAATTCGTAGGAATTCGTAAAAAAGATCGCTTATAAAAGACAATTTTTTGACAATTCTTCAGTTTAATTCGACATTGTCTAACTTGGCGTTAAAATTTTTTAATCTTCCGCTCCTTTTTTAACATTTTTTCCGAAAGTATTTACATAAACACTGCGGCTCATTGCCAGACCAAGAGCCATCCTTCCCGCAAAGTCGAATGCTATCTCCCGTGAGATGGAAACCGATTCTGCATCTTATGCCGCATGCCGCATGCACCACGTTGCTGCAAGCGCTCGCCTTTACTAGATAGCCATTTTCAGGAACTCTTAGCTTCGGGCACGTTATAGCTGGAAAATATATCTACTGTATATTATATTCTTCTGTAACATTTGCGAATAATTTCACGTTATATTTGCATTGACAACCGCCAAGAGTCTTTCTTTTTAATCGGATCTATTTACCAACCGCGAACAGCCTCAAGTTTAGTATTTCTTTTTTATCACATTTATCAGATTAGACATTTAATGGATATACGTGGTCGGAATGTCTGCGATTTCGTCGCGGAGTTTCGAAATTTGACCGAAGACGTAAAGAAATCGCGATCGAGGCAGACGAAATGGTTTGCGAAGTACGAGCCGTTATTGAAGGAATACGAGTGAGTGCGCGTTTATTAAAAATACAAATGTACAATATTTTATACGATATTAATATCAAACAAGACCGAAATATTTTGAAGAAAACTACAACAGGGACTGAATAAATTGTATAAAGAGAGAACTGCCAAAGATAAAGTCAAGGATGATGCGTTTATCGAAAAAGAGAGAACGTGCTTGCCGATACCGATCACAACTAGCGGCGAGGTATATATTGAATTAATTAATTATATTGATACGTAACAAGTATTCTAAAATAATATATATATTTTCTATTTTTTAATTTGATTTTGTTTTATTTATTATATTTAAATATTTTTGTATACACATTTCTATATGTAATTCGATATATTGTGACCTAATCACGCAGTACGGCTGGCTCGCATCGAAACCGGAGTTTCGCCTGGAGAAGTATGGCTCGTACATTGTAAATTATCCTATTCCTTCCAAAGACGTAACTTTTATTTCGGGAAATATACCGACACTCGCGGCAGGCAAGAGTTTTGTGTTTGACACCAGAAAAAAAAATTTAAATTTTGTTATTCCAGAGTAATTCATTTCAAGGTACGTTTAATTCGGAGATTTATTCTTACCTCTCGTACAATTATTAATTGTCAGTCTATTGGCGATAATCTAGAACGATGACTGTAGGTTTATCGAATGCAAACGATATATACACGATATTACCCTCGCATTTATAATCATCCGTGGTAAATCCGGAAGCGCACACACAGTCAAGTATCGAGGTCGCGGGAACCTTGATTGTAACGTGATTCGCATCCGGGCAGGGTACGCATACAGCGGTGGAATCCCCTGAAGCGTTTCCAGAAGCGTACGTTCCGTTCGGACAAGCTATCACGAGAGCACATAAAAGAAGAAAATTTCGGAAAATTTAGAAAAAAGAATCGAAGTTGAAACATTAATTATATATATATATATATAAGTAATTAAGTATATAATAATCAGAAAAATTAAATAAATCACAAAAATAGAGATTTGAAACGCATTTTCCCTTTTTCACCTACGTTGGCAGAAACCTTTAAGACCGGAACCGAAATAACCAGACGGACAGATACAGGCATAACGCCCGGTTGCGGTGCCGCAGGTGCAAGTCGCTAAATCATCGCAGCAGGTTCGATTGGCAGCCGAACAGAGACTGTTGCAATCAGTCGATAGAGTCACGGGCACGTACTGTCCAGTTTTCAAATCTAATCATTTTAATTTAATTTAAATATATTTGAGAGATTTTATTATATATATCTATTTTATATACATTATAAACATAAATATATTTTTAAATATCTTTTCTATTTTTAAAATTGATCTTTATCTTTTTTTTTATATATATCAAGTATTTATATAAGAAAATGTTTTATATATAAATATGTGTAATTTTCAAAGAGAATGTTCAGTTATGATATAAGATGCGCACCGCGATGTAGAGCGCGTCGCGCTAAAGCCTCGAATTCGGTGAAACTGTCGAGAAGATAACTATGCGTGTACCCGGGTGGGCTGGCGATGTCGTGCAGCTCTTCTACATTTCCTGTACGAATGCCGAACGTGAACACGGTCGCGCCCGTATTCTTCAAGAGATCAGCGGCGGGTCGGGGATCGCCGCCGTTGCTGAAGCCGTCGGTTATCAGAAACACCACTTTGTTCGCCGCTTCGCGACCTTTCTCAAGGATCGTCTTAAAATAAAAATATACGAGCAGCTAGTAGTTTCCGAATTCGAGCGATTTTTTTCTATATTATTTCAGTGAATCGCAGTAATTTATTATTATTGTTTTGTCACATCTTCAACATAGCGGCATTTTCCTGGATGGAAATACAAAACACTTACCAGCGCCTCGAGAAGAGCGCCGCGCGTGTAAGTTCCTCCGCCGCTATAAGTGATATTGTTGAACTGCTTGTTCAGCAGATAACACTTGTGATCGTTCGGTCCGTGCAGTGAGATTTGATCGATGTTACGGTACACATTGCCCCTGCCGCCGAAGGTGACCACCGCAACCCGCGTGGTCGTCTCGTCTACCGTAAAGTCCGAGAGAAGCTTCGTCACGAAATTCAGCTCGCTGCGGAAATTCTCCGCGCCGACCGAACCGGACGCGTCCACCAGAAACACCAGTTCCACCTGATGGCACGCGATTCGGACAAAGCCGTTCGGACGATTTCGTTTGAGGAATTGAAATCGAGGAGGTCGATTAGACAATCACAATCTTTATTCTTTGCATCTTTTTTTACCGCTTTTAAATGTATTTTATTTTAAGAAAAAAGGAGAGAGAAATATATATATATATATAT